CGGGGCATAGAGGAGAAACAATAATGTACAGTATGTGGAAAATAATGTGTTTTTTGAACCTTAAACCGCATAAACACATTTCATTACACCAAATACACAAAATAATGTTCTTTTTAGTAGCATCATATGACCTCTTTAAGTAAGTATTGAGTGGTTATAATTCAATTTTAGTTTTAGTTAACTCTAATAACCCTGAATTCATATTTCATCTTTTCCAAACCCATTCCTGCTTTCTGTTCCAATACTTTCCTATCACTCTCCATTCTGCTATTCCATATTTAAATATAAAGGTGGTGACTTCTTACACTAGTAACACAAGTATAAAAGAAGATAATTGCTATTTTGAAGGTAGATACTGTTTGCTCCATGTACAACTGGTACTAAATAGCACCCTGGTTACACTGCAAATAGTAATAGGTACTATTCACAAAGAGTGCAAACAAAAGTAATATGCTATTTTTACTATATTACACCGCCCTGCATCATATTTGCTGAATGACATCCGATACTTGTTTTGTACTAACTTTGGGGTGCTGATTCCAAAAATAGTGCCTGTTTAGCTCTAGCATGTCTCACTTTTTCACAAACTGACTATGCATTGACTATGTAAACAAAATAAAAACATGGGGTCTCTCGATGGGTTTTAAACTTTTTGTCACATAGAACACTTTGACACCTAACAGCAACGGACTCATAAGGGAGTGTATATGTTGCATTTGCATTGAAAATCTGGTGAATATTGCAGTTAAACCACAAAATACGAACTGTATAATCAAGGCTAATAAGTGAATTTCATCATCATGTCTATGTAAATATTCTCATGGGACAAAAGTATAACCACTGTGTTTGTTTGATTTCTCTCTCTCTCTCTCTATCTCAGGTGTTGGATATTCTACAGCATATCCAGGCTCTAGACCCGACTCAGCACGGAGCGGTCGGGTATCTGGTGCAGCATACGCTCGAGCACATCCAGCATAAGAGGCACCCGGTAGAGCCGGAGGTGAAGAGACACAGCGCGCCTGAGCACAGGGATGTACAGTACTCTGTAGGCCTCATCATGAAACATAAGAGGTGGGTTCCTGTTTGTGTGAGCGGTAAACTAATGAACTACATGGAATATGAAACTGAGAGCAGCCAGGGAAACATCTATAAAAAGAAGTGATGCTAATCTGTAACTAATAATAATAAACACCTGTCGTTACTACATTTCTCCAGGTGGACCTCATATTGATGATGCAAACATACTACAGTTCTGGGCCAAATAATACAAAGTTAAATCAGACTTTTATTGGCACAGGATGGCAATGCAATCTTGATTTCAAATCAAAAAGGTTTAATGCTTTGCTTAACTTTAGGTAGACTGTAGATGAACCATGCGTTTATATTTAATATTTGTGACCCTGGACCACCAAACCAGTCATAAGGGTCAATTGTATGAAATTGAGATTTATACATCGTATGGATAAATAAGCTTTCCATTGATGTACGGTTTGTTAGGATAGGACAATATTTGGCCGAGATGCAACTATTTGAAAATCTGGAATCTGAGGGTGCAAAAAAATCACAATATTGAGAAAATCGCCTTTAAAGGAACACTCCACTATTTTTGAAGGAAATGTACAAAATATCTTTATGGAACATGATCTTTACTTAATATCCTAATGATTTTTGGCACAAAAAAAATATGTATTGTTGGCTATTGCTACAAATATACCTGTGCTACTTATGACTGGTTTTGTGGTCTAGGGTCACATTTAATATTCACAAACTGATGTCTCTCATAGGTCAGGCTACAACTGCGTTATCTACGGGTGGGACCCTAAATGCACCATGAGTCAGGAGTGGATTAACACTATGAGGGTCCATCAGCTGTCTAAGGGGGCTGATCAGCCATTCTACAACGTCTTAGTGCAGGATGGGACATGTAGATATGCTGCGCAAGGTGAGTTTTTCCATTGATCCAAGATTTAAGCAATGGAAATGACTCTATCTAACATAGTTTTAGGTTGTGCATATACTTTTGCAGACTGGTTTATTATCACTTTCTGGTATCTGAAAACTAGGTCTTTGTCCTAATTGCTCTCAATTTCATCAGCATCAGTGAATCATTTCTTTTGGGGCAAATGGGTGAGGTCGTAATTGATTCGAGACAATTGCGGTCTTAAAATAAAAAAGAAACTCTCACTTTCTCTTTTCGTTTGCAGAGAATCTGGAGCCTCACTCCGCCCCGCTGGAGATCGCTCACCCTGAGGTCGGCCGCTACTTCACCGAGTTCTCTGACACACACTACATCGCTAATGAAGAGCTCCAGTCACGTTACCCAGAGGACATGTGCAAGACCCACAGGACTGTAGAGGAGCTCTACCATGGTCTCAACCACAACTCAGGGCAGTCACCGGAGCCCACCGCCAACTTCCAGGACCACGATTTGTTAGATCCGTAGAGAAGAATGCCACCTCCTTGCCTCCCTCCCCACTATAGATGCGTAATGTCATTCACTTTCTCCTGAACTGTTACAACTGTTAAGGGACTGGAGTTAAGGGACAAGTTAAAGGAATAGTTCACCCAAAAATGAAAATTTGCTGAACATTTACTTCCAAGATGTAGATGAGTTTGTTTCTTCATCAGAACAGATTTGGAGGAATGTCGCATTACATCACTTGCTCACCAATGGATCCTCTGCAGTGAATGGGTGCCGTCAGAATGAGAGTCCAAACAGCTGATAAAAACATCACAATTACCCACAAGTAATCCGCACATCTCCAGTCCATCAATTAATGTCTTGTGAAATGAAAAGCTGCATATTTGTAAGAAACAAATGCATCAAGGCGTTTTAACTTTAAACCATCACTTCTAGGCAAATTACGAGTCCATAATCCAAAATAATGCATTGTCCAGTGAAAAAGTTCATTCCCTATTGTCTCTAAAAATCAAAATCCACTGACCGAACTGTTTTAAACAGTTCTCCCTGGAAACGGAGCTTGATCTGTGCATATTTCTTTCCAGATTTCATTGGAGACGGCAATTTCATAGATAAAAAAAACATCTTAATGATGCATTTGTTTCTTACAAACATGCAGATTTTCACTTCACATGGCATTAATTGATAGACTGGAGATGTGTGGATTATTGTAATGTTTTTAATCAGCTGTTTGGACTCTCATTCTGACGGCACCCATTCACTGCAGAGGATCCAAGTGATGTAATGCTAAATTTCTCCAAATCTGTTCTGATGAAGAAACAAACTCATCTACATCTCGGATGGCCTGATGATGAGTACAGTTTCATATTTGCGTGAACAATTCCTTTAAGACAACATCCTGGTCCTAGATTAGTTTTAAGCGCAACTTTGAGCCAGAGCTGCAAATGTAGTCTAAGCTGAAAGAAACTACACGTGTTGTATTTGAGTGGTTGAGTATAAATGATGTGGCTGAGTTACAGTATTTGTGCAGATACAAAATATACTTTAGATAGTATGTATAGACTATGTGAACTTACACTACACAGGGTCTGAATATCTGTATATGTGTTGATGATCAGGCCCGTTCCTTACGCCATCAGTCATAACACATCTCACTGAACTAATGCACTAATGTCACTTATGTTAATATGTTAACTAACATGCACTTGACATGAAGTAAAATGTCTAAAGCTGTCACCTTAAAATATTTTGTAATGTTTATTTCAAAGTTATAAAAAAAAAGAAAAAACCTAGAGAACAGGGGCTCAAGGAATTCTTGGCTCATAGTGGTTGTAAATACAAAAGTATTGAGAATATAAGAGAATGCATCACAATAAAAGAATACGCTCTACTTTGCTGGTCTGGTTATTTCTTTATAATGTTCTTTTCATAACTTATCTACTTGTTTTGTAAGTGTAGAGATTTTATATAGCTAAATATTTAAATGTGTTCATCTAACCATGATTCCCTTCCAGATTGCCCAGGAATATGGACAGTAAATAAAATATTAATTTTCGTATATCAGCAAACATTTGAGCACGTCTGCCCCAAACTTTATGACGCATTACTCTTAAGCAAACTGAATATTTCGAGGTCAAAATACAACTATAGGTAAATTTGTGACATTGACCATGTGAAATCCTTTTATACAAATGGTCAGGTTTCCTTGCTTCCACTGAAGCACAAGTTGCTCTTTGCAATATTCTTCAGTCATTCTGTAGAACATGATTGTCATGTTTTGCTCATGTCAGCTCGAGATACAAATCAAATATTAAAACGTGCTGGAATTTCATTTGTCAATGAAACATTTTACTTTAATTGCTATGCAGATTTAATTTTGCTGCATATTATGATGATTAGAAAAGAAGGCTAGTCACTAGTCGCCTCTGATTAATGTTTCCCTGTTCTGTTTTAACATGCACTGAACACCTTAAAGTGAAAGTTTGAGAATGAATGGCAAACAAGTCAGGGTGGTGTCCCTCTTGTATCCAAAGCAGAGTGTGTTTGCATTAACTTTAATACTCATCCAAAGTCAAACAACCTTAAATATTTATAATGCAAATATAAGCATCTACCACACTATACCTTAATCCTTTCTCTGCCTGCAGAAGACTGGGTGAATATCACGAAATCATTATTTGACCTGTGATGTTTTCAGGAATACTAAGAAGAAAATAATATCTTTAAGATATTTTAATCATACAAATTATTTTAATAATCATATAAAATAAAATAATTATTTTTTTTAAATATATTTATTTATTTTATTTAAAATATGATTTTAATTCATTAATATACATTTTATACATTTATATGAAAATAAGTATTATTCCATTTATTTACGACATTTATCTTTTTGACAACGACCCCAAATATCTGCTATGACAAGAAAGCGAAGATTTCTTCTTTTATACCTAACCCAAATGTCCATTTCTGGGTCTCAAAAGAATTTTCAGATCCCGCACTCAGAGAAAAAAAAAAAAACCGGACGAGACTCAGGTGTGTCACTGACGCGAATTTGCATATTTCATAAGCGGGCGGAGCTTTGCTATCAAAGTCTGAGGGACACGTTGTGAAAGTTCTGACCATTCTTCACACGACTTTCTTTCTGATCTCTTCCGGAGTTTAGCATGGGAGCTTCTCATTCTGGACGAGTGCATATGTTCCATGATCTGGCTGATAAAACTGGCTGTGAGTATCCATAAAACTTTTCAATGTGTAGACAGCGACATTTTTTCAGGTGCTTAGAATATGTTTGTAAGTGACTTTACAGACAAAGTAGCATGGTACTGTGATGATATCAGAAGGTTGTATCATGGTACGGTGTGGTACCATGGTAGTACTTCAAAGAATGCCATAGTACCAAAAAACATGGGCCATAAGGTGCGTTTTTGGACAATTTCAAGTTGTCCAAATGTTGCTCTAATATATAGGCTAGCATACAGTTTACAGAAATTAATGTGTTTTGTGTGAATTTATGTGGTAAAGACTGTTTTAAAAACTCATAAAACATGATTCATTACACAACAGTTGTTTGAACTAGATCATTAATTGTGATTCAAGTAAAACGTAAATTTGTATATACATTGATTTAATACATAACTAAATGTCCATTAACTACTCTTGTGACCTGTTAAGCATTATATGTTTATGACATAAAAGCTATTATTAAGTGCCAACTGTAATGAACAAATATATATATTAAAATGCATAATGTGTCTAAATTTTACAGTTCTTATATACAGCGTGCTGTACATAGGCTCTAAAGTGATTAACCGTCGTTAACACTCACAACAGCCTAAATCTAATGAACCCAAAGTGTCACTCAGTTGGAATGTAGAAGTAGGAGGACTTTTGGAGAAGCACAAATAATCCCATTCATATCTATCATTGGGGAGAAGCATTTTCACAAGAGTTATTTACTGTACAGCTGTGAATGTGTGAATACCAAGCACATATTACACAGAGCAAATCTTCTCAAAACTAACTGTACTACCTCACAGAATAGAATAGAACTGTAACATTTTACAATAAGGTCCCATTCATTAACATGAATGCATTTTTGTTCATTTAAAAAGACAAGTCTTCATTGTTTGTTCATGTTAGTTCACAATACATTGACCAATAGTTAAATGTTGAAATGAACATACACAAAAAAAAAATGATGTAAAAGTATTGTTAATTGTTAGTTGATGTTCACTAACTAATGTTAACAAATGAAACCTTATTGTGAAGTGTTACCATATAACTCTATTGTGTTCAAACGGCCGTAGGATAGTATAAAAGTACAATATAGACAGACATGTAGCTTTCACTGCTATGTAAAACATGAGTTTTTCTGGTTTTACTTGTTTTTCTGTCTTTTTCATTTCTTTTGTGTGTGTGTGTGTGTGTGTGTGTCAAAACGCTTATAAATCACACAGAATGGAGTGTATTGAAAATCTGAAATAGCACAAAGTTTCCTGTGAGGGGTAGGTTTAGGGGTAGGGTTGGTGTAGGGCAATAGCACATACAGTTTGTACAGTATAAAAACCATTACGCCTATGGGATGTCCCCACTTTTCACAAAAACAAACCTGTGTGTGTGTGTGTAGTAACCTACAATTTACTTCAAGTCCTTTCCACATTCTCAGAAAAAAGGTACAAATCTGTCACTGGGCCGGCATCCTTTCAAAATGGACTAATATGTACACTTTAGGTACTAATATGTACTTCATGGTTAGAACATAATGCATACCATAGAGGGTTAAAGCACTAATATGTACCTTTAACATAGCTAATATGTATCATTTAGGGATAAATAAGGTAAGATTTGGTGATTTCAAATATCAACATTGGCTACCAGAAATCACTTACTCTGCCTTTAAAGCACTAATATGTACCTTTAACATAGCTAATATGTATCATTTAGGGATAAATAAGGTAAGCTTTTGTACCTTAGGATAATGGCCCAGTGATGGCTTTGTACCTTTTTTCTGTCTCTCAGTTACCAGAAGAAAACACTGGTCTATAAGTATGGCAGGGTAATAAATGAAATGATAAAAATGTTAAATAAATAATTAATTTAAAAATAAAACTACTAAAAACTTGAAAAGTTTTCATTCCGACACTGCTAGTAAATTTCACAAATATTTACAAAGAAATGGAAACTGCACATAAATGTGAAATTTTGAAGTAGAAAGTCTGGCACAGTATTTTCTTCTAAAACATGTATTTACTTTTAAAGTATACCGATTGCGCATACTGAACATGTCAAATGCACATTGTATGAGCGATTCTAGTGACAGATAGCAGAGTGTTCTGGTTTGGTGACAGCTGTCATAAGATCAGGGATTGATTACATCTATTTTGGTCGACTAAATCTCTATAAATACAGTTTGTATTGTTGCATGTTGTGAGTGTATCTGTGCACCTCCTCTCCTCGTGTTGTGTAATCTGAGGCATTCGAGTTTCTGGTGGTTACCCTAATGAAACATGCATTCCTTGCACGAGTTTCTTCATTATCAGCACATGGGTGTCGTGGCCCAAAGGTTGCGGTTTGATTTTATTCATTATCAGCTCGTCTTGCGCTTCACCCACACTCACATATTCTGTCTCCATCACTCCTTCAGAACAGCTGTGACTGTGAAGTTCTTTGAAATGTTCCTGAATTTGCTGTCTTTTTCTCACTTTAGTTTCCATAGAGCAGATAAATAACCTCCATAACAGATTTATGTACCTGACTCAAGATGAAGACACTTTAAGGTACTGTACAAATGACTTAATGACGATTCTAAAATACTGTCATAACCAGTCATCTACCACACTCATTTTCTATCTGTATTTTAACTTCTGATTTTAAATCAGGTTCTGCGTTACAGAATAGGACACATGGTGTATTATTGGATTGTGTGTGTTTTGAAAAGGGTGTCAGATTCATTTTCCGTAATAATGAAATGTAGTGTAATGCACAGCATAAACATTTCTTCTCATTTCAGACGTGAACACCTTGAGAATATTAGCAATTTGGCCCTCAACCCAATCCGAAGACAGATCATTGAGGCTTTCTTTGATAAAAGGTGCGTCCAGAAAAGAAAAAAACTCATATGGGTCCATATTTCAGTTTTGAGAGGAAATTCCAGTGTTTTTTTTTGTTTGTTTGTTTGTTTCATGAGTTTTGTGTTTTATAGTTCTTTTTTCACCATTTTGCTGAAAAGCAAATAAGTGTCATATAATTAATTTTACATCTAGACCTGTTGAGGAATATGGCATATTTTAATTAAATTTTTAATTATTTAAATGCATTTAAATTATTACATTTTTTTTTATTTTTTTATTTGTAATTCAAGTTTTTATTGTTTTCATCCTTTAAAATTATTTTTTAATTTATTTAGATTTTATATTTCACATTAAGGTATTCTTCTCAAACATTTTGTGTTTTATGTTTGTTTTACCGTACAGATGTGTTGAGGAAGACGGCATATTTATGACGACATATTTAAAATAAGTGTATTTAAATTATTTTTAAATTGTAATTATTATACATATTTTGAATTTACTTTGATAGATAGTATCTATCTTGTGTTTTATATTTCACAAGAATGTCGTCTTCTCAAAACCGTAGGTTCCAGCTGTCAAAATTTACCCCGTATGCCTTTAATGAACTTTAATGAATGTCCCTCATGAATAATAATGGAGAACCTTCAATAGCATTTATTTAGCCAAAAGTTAAAGTTAATATTGAACAAACATGAATTAACATGAACTAGAAATATTGCTTACAGTCTCTGCGTAAAAAGCTGAGATACTAGAAAGTGTTTACCGTGAAACCGGTATAATTTTGAAAAATACCGTGATATAAATTTTTGGTCATACCGCCCAGCACTACTATATAGTAGCCTATATATCGCTCTACGCAAGTATACTATAGAGATAAAGTTGGACGTATTGGCATTGATGGTTCCATGAAAACCTTTAACGTCCATGGAACCTTTCTATTCCACAAAACGTTCTTTATAGTGGAAAAAAAAAATTCTTTACACTAAGAAACAAAAAAGAGTTGACTGAAAGATTCTTTGGGGAACCAAAAATGCTTCTTCTATGGCATTGCTGTAACCCCCCCTTTCAGACCTTTATTTTGAAGAGTGTGTCCAACTTTAAAATCATTCTGTCATGCTTCTAAACATACCTAATGATAATGTCTGTGTGCTTTCATCCAGGAACTTGGGTGAAAAAGAGAAGGGCTGTCTGCAGGAGATCGGTTTTGAGGAATTCGTTACTGTCCTGTCCTTCTTCAGACCACCCAAACCACACACTGCTGACGAAGAGATGAAAAACATCAAGAAGGAGAAACTACGCTGTGAGAATACAGATGGTCTTTCTATTGCAGCTTTCTTTTAACGGATATCAGTGTTATATTCATTGATATATTATTATAATTTGATTTTATTTTTCAATTTCCTGTCTTCATTTTATTTTTTAAATGTTAGTAATTTTGTGTTATTATTATTTTTTTAAATATATATCTACATAGTTTTTATTAAATATATATGTGTAGATACTGTGGGCCAGATTTACTATCAGCTTGCGCCAGCGCAAACCCTCATTTGGCATTAAAAAACAATTTTCAGGATTTACTAAAAACACGCAGTGGGAAATTAGCGCTAAAAAAAGGCATGGGCACAGTTATTTTTGAGACTCACCTTATTGAATATGCATTTGTAGGAGTTTCCCTTTCGATCTGTAAATTTATGGGAGGAGCGTATTTAAATGAATCACGCAACGTGATTTACTAAGATTTGCGCTCGTCAATTCACTGGTATTTGCGGCATTATTTAACGGCCAAAAAAGAAGCATGTCTTAAAGCAGGCGGTAATTTGCGCTGCTCTTGGTAGATTGCGCTGGTCATTATGGAAATGAGATGTTGCATATGTGTTCTTTAATGTGCGCATTGTCAGTAAATCACACACAGAATTTTCCCCTCCCATCGGCGCTTTTATGGAATTGCGCTCGTAATGCTAATGTGCCATGTTTAGTAAAATGTTTTGGTTTATTTTTAGTTATTTTAGTATCTAATAGTGTTGTCAAATCGATTAATCGCAATTAATCGCATCCAAAATAAAAGTTTGTGTTTACATAATGTGTCTGTTTCTTATATACAAGCATGTATGTGTGTGTATTTATATGTACATATAAATATTTACAGTACACACAAATTGTATGTGAACAAACATTTATTTTGGATGCGATTAATTGCGATTAATCAATTTGACAACACTAGTACTTAAACTAAACAGAAATGAAAAATTTTGCCTTGGAAAATAGCTGAAAAAAAATACGTTTTTTTTTTTTTTTTTTTTTCCAGTTAATGTTAATTTATTTCTAAACAAAGTTTAAGCCTCACTGTGTCGCTTTTTTCATTTATACTTGTGAAAGTCAACTTCTTTCAGCATTAATATAGTTTTGAGGTTTACATTTTTATTTTGATAAATGTCTTGGTCTCTATAGTTCTATTCAACATGCATGACACTGACAATGATGGCGTCATCACGCTGGATGAATACGGACGTGTAAGATTCATTTCTTATTTTATATAAAACTACAAAACACATTTATGGCTTGTTTGACCGCAGTGTGACTGATTGTAGGTGGTGGAGGAGCTGCTGTCTAGCTATGAAACCATAGGAGCAGAAACCGCCAAAGCCATTTCAGATGCTGCAATGCTGGAGGTGGCGAGTGTCACAGTGGGTCAGATGGTACGCTGGCAATCCATGATGGGCTTTGACATTTTAAAGTTCTAATGTGATTTTTCTAATTGAAACCTGTTGGATCTGGTCCTTTTTTTGGTTTAGGGTCCTGATGAATTTTATGAGGGAATCACCTTTGAACAGTTCATGCAGGTTTGCACTTTTATAATATGAATTATAATTAAATATAATGCACGCTGCTCATACCTCGCCCTTGAACGTCTCCTCCCACAGATATTGAAAAATGTAGAGATCGAGACCAAGATGAATATTCACTTTTGGAACTTGGACACCAGGACGATGCAATGTGGGAAATGAGTCACTTCTGCTTCACAGCAGCACTTTATTTTAGACCTAAACATGTCAAATTTGTCTCATGGATTCAACTCTTAGTATTGAGTTCTTTCTCTGAAATATCTTAAATGCTTAAGATATGGAGGCAGTGAACATGAGTCAGGAGCAAACCAAACGTGCAAAGTATTTCTATATATTTGGAAGACATTTATCAACCACATGAAGCCCGGCTATTTTTGTGACTTCATATATTCACATATGTACAATGCAAGGCATTTTGATTCATACATACTTTCAGATGCTATGTAACAGTGGAATTGAGCCATGCGATCATAAATTTCCCTTCTGAGCAAAGTGCTGATTTTATAATGGAGGAAGTCTTGGAAATCAACAGTCAAACCGGTGCTTAAACACTCCACACCCAAAGTTAATGAATCCACAAATCTTATCAATCACCTCAAAAACAGCAGGAAGTGATTGTTTTGTTGCCCGTGTGCTTTTGCCCTCTTATTACAATAATATATCTGGCTTCCTTCCACCAAAGTTATATATTAATATGTATTACAGAGGTGTGTATAGTTCTTACAGCAACAGCATTTACTGTAGGATATTAAAGTATGATAATTTTGTATATTATTATCAGTATATTACCGACTACAGTGTACACTACTGTTCAAAAGTTGTTGTTTTTTTGTTGTTTTTTTAATGCTGATTTTATAATGGAGGAAGTCTTGGAAATCAACAGTCAAACCAGTGCTTAAACACTCCACACCCAAAGTTAATGAATCCACAAATCTTATCATTCACCTCAAAAACAGCAGGAAGTGATTGTTTTGTTGCCGTTGTGCATTTGCCCTCTTATTACAATAATATATCTGGCTTCCTTCCACCAAAGTTATATATTAATATGTATTACAGGGGTGTGTATAGTTCTTACAGCAACAGCATTTACTGTAGGATATGAAAGTATGATAATTTTGTATATTATTATCAGTATATTACCGACTACAATGTACACTACTGTTCAAAAGTTTTTTTTGTAAGAAAATAATACTTTTATTCAGCAAGGAAGCATTAAATTGATTTAAAAAGTGACTAATAACATTTATAATGTTCTAAAAATGTCTATTTCCAATAAATGCTGTTCTTTTGAACTTTCTATTCATCAAAGCGTTATGAAAAAAATGAATCACTGCTTCACCAAAAAATATTAAACTACACAAATGTTTTTCATCACTGAAAATAAGTAATCAAGTTTCTTGAGCAGCAAATAAGCATATAAGAATGATTTCTAAAGGAAGAAAATAATACTTTTATTCAGCAAGGAAGCATTAAATTGATTTAAAAAGTGACTAATAACATTTATAATGTTCTAAAAATGTCTATTTCCAATAAATGCTGTTCTTTTGAACTTTCTATTCATCAAAGCATTATGAAAAAAATGAATCACTGCTTCACCAAAAAATATTAAACTACACAAATTTTTTCATCATTGAAAGTAACAAGTAATCAAGTTTCTTGAGCAGCAAATTAGCATATAAGAATGATTTCTAAAGGATCATGTGACACTGAAGACTGGAGTAATGATGCTGTATTTTACAATATATAAAAAAAATTGTACTTTAGATCAAATAGGAAGGCCAAACAAAGTAGTTTCGCTTTCACAACGAAACACACAGCGACTCCACAACATGGCAGCGGCGGAAACAGCAAGAATTAAAGTTACGCCTTCTTTTTTTGCTTGAACATTTGGGCAGCGTTATGCAAATCTTCCCACATCGTGACGTAGACATGTGGGGGCGTGTTAGAAGAGCCGTTTTAGGTAGGCGTGGTTGACTCTCAACTTTTATAAAGAATATCTCTTTGGATTTGAGACTTTAGTCTTTGCAACTTTACAGATCTTCTTTATGCACCAAGAGCTTATAATACTCCAAAGAGAAAGGAAAAATTGAAATCGCATCATATGACCCCTTTAAAATAGCAAATTCAATGCCAATCTTTCCAGTGCAACTGGTCCTAAAAGAACAGAGTATTAAATGCCAACCTAAGGGCCATTCAGTATGTCATACGGCATCGCCAAGCCAATTGTTACAGTTGTATCCAGAGGACTCGGTGTAGTTGGACCTGCAGAAGGGCAGAACGTGATCCGGGGTAGACGAGTCCATTGAGAAGTCATAGTGACAGATCAGCCCTCTGAATCTAAAGAAATAATAAAAGTACAGAATAAACAGGTGGAAACACAGTAGCAAAGACAGCACAACATAATGTAATATGTGTTTTTACCTGCGGTGAGCTTTGAGGTCATCGTCTGTGATACAAGCCCCGCGAGGGTTCTTCTCATCAGGGACGTTGGCTGTTGAATCACAGTATGATTATGCGTCGCCAGGATGGTCTTAACCCTGTGAAGCCTGAAATGCTTTATCTTTTTGTCTTATTGATGACAGAATTGTCACTCATTCAATTGTTAAAAGCATTACTAAAAGGAACGTTCTCACCTGTTGTGCATTTCCCAGAGTTTGGCTCCTATCCTCATCTCCCACACACTGACCAATCCCTCGCCGCCACCGCTCACGGTCTTCCAATCATCTGCCTGGACTGTGGTCACGCCCATGTGAAGGGCATATAAAGAGACGACTGACGAGTCCGTACGCAAGTCAAACACTCACTCTGAAATAGAGAAGCAACTCAATGTTATTATCACTACACCTGTGATCCACTGAAAGTGGCAGTAGTTCAAGCACAGACCGTCTAATTGGGCTGCATGATTAATCTAAATAAAACCGAAATCACAATATGGCTTAGTGCAATTATCAAATTGAAATTGCTGTGATTAAATAAATATACGCACCACCAAAATATACTTCCGTCAAAAGGTTTAACATTTGAAAATTAATAAAATAAGATGTCCATAAATATGAGAATTGTTATTTTACAGTTGTAATTTAAAATGTAATTATTTAGTTTTTTTTTACCATTTTTGGTGAAATAGTAAATTTTTAGAAATATTTCTGTTTTTATGTATTTTTTATATTTTTATTTACTCCTACTAGTACTGATTATTATCTCATATTATTTTATATCCATATTGATATACAATCACAAAATTGTGCAGCTACAAAAAAGCACAGCAAACCTGGAATTTTGTTTAATCACATTTTGAATATATTAATATACAAAGTATATTGTAATTATGGTTATTATAGTTAAGTTAACTAAAACCATCAAATTAATTTTCATTAGTGGAAATAAAAATATTTTAGCAGAAATATATTAAAATATAAAATGTTAAACTTATTTTATTTCAGCTAGCTGCCAGGGCAACATTTCTAATTTTCATTTTGTTTAATTTGATGTACTAAAATAACTAAAACTTAATTAAAAATTAATACAAATTCACAAAACAACAAAAAGTAGAAAATGATAAAATATAAAAAATAAAAACTAATTCCAAATATTAATAAAAACTAGTATTAGTAAACTAGTAATAGTGTCTCGATAATTCTAAAAGAACACTGACTATAACCAATTTCAAATATATTGGCCCCTAAGCTAAAACAAAACGAACTGTGGTTGGTCAGTCTCTACATGGTCAGATCTTGGCCAGAATAAAGTGTAAAGTGGACCATACTTCAGTCAAAAGGCTGACTACACAAGACTAATGTGTTACAGAAACTGCAGTATGACAGCTTTCCCCTCTAACAGAGCACCACTGTGGGATGACATTAGTATAAAGCTGGTATAAAGAAATTACTTTTACAGGCCCAAAGGTGCTTAATTCCATCTGTCCTCTTTAATGGTACCGGAGGCAGCCAAAGGATGACTCTATGCTGGTGCTTTCCAAAAGATAATCGACAAAATTAAATTTTGCTTGGACCAAAAAAAAAAAAAAACAACACATGGAGGACAAAAGATATTAGACAGAATGAATCATTAATGCATAGCCAAGCAGGATTTAATGTTGCGAGTAATTATGTGGATGTGCCTATCTATTGTCCTGGTTTAATTTCATCGAAGCATTTATTCTTGTAAGAGGCTGTAATATATTTACTGGCAGGTTGCAGTGGTCATAAATCTAATGCTAAAACAAGATCTAGTTTCACTGAGCTGTCAGCAGACAGGCTTCCTTCAATTAATCAAGAAAATTGTTCACAGGCACTTCCAGTGCCACCAACCGTGAGCAAAAACACCACAGGATACACACGGCCATGAAAAGCACATGTACACAGATAGCACACATGGGCCCATCGTCATCCTCATCATAACTAACTTTACCACATTTACAAGCAGTGAAACTAAAAACTTGGTGTTTTCAAAATAGTGTAGCTTTAACGGTAATAAAAAAAAACTTTAAAATTTACTTTTGTTTTATATGTTTTTTTTTTTCAAAACATTTATAAAACCTGTTCAAATAACAGGCATTATCATTGTTAAAAACACCCTCAATAAATTCAAGCAGTATGCATTGAAGGAGAAAAAAAAAATCTATGTAATATATATACAGTATATATATATATATATATATATACGGTTCTATATATATATAACCGTATATATAACGGTTCACAGAATTCACGGTTCGGTTCGGTATGTTCGGTACGGTGAGCCAATGGACATCACACAAGCAACATGCAAACTTTGTGCAAGAGTTATGCCGGTGAACGTCTTATAATCTCAGTCAATTCACTATATGCAGAAAGTGAAAGTAAAAACGGAATGACAGAGTAATGACGGAGCTTTCGGCATCTGACGCCGCATTCTCTCTCAGAGACGAATCTACTTCAACATATGCTGATAACGGTATATAGCTAACTGTTTTAATTTATTCCCTTAATATTTCTCTTGTGGCCCGTACATAGTGGGAAAAAAAATGAGAAGAAACATATTTCGTGTTAAACAGGTTGTTATTTACAGTCGGTGCTTGGAATAAAAGCTTTTTATTTCATTGATTTTTATCGATGACTGCAGTGTTAATATTTTAATTATAGGCATATAATTCGTCTTAGACGGTTTTAAAAACATTTTAATTGAGGATAGGCTAAACATCTTTTGTTATCCTCGCAGCGCGTCAGTTATGCGGTAATTATTGCGAGGCAAATTAATTGTAATTTTAATTTAATAATAAAAGTAACTTCATAATAATAATAGGCCTAATAAAAATAAGAATGTAACAGGCCTACATTTATTGGAAATGCCAAATCCTCTTAATATTGCCAATAATTGACGTTTTTGACAATATCTCTGGCTATCGTTGATACAAGATCGTTGTCTTTCGACCGTTTTTTACAGTCTATGCTTTCGACGCACCCCAGCAAGAGGAGGTTATCGCGGGGCCCTAATGCACTCTATATAAATTAGTAGGGCTGGGTAAAAAATATCAATATCTCGATATTAATCGATTCTCATTTTTACGGAACGATATTGATTCTTAAATCCCAAGAATCGATCAGTCTAGCCTGTTTTCAGTTAATGGACGGAACGTTGAAGGGCACTTCCCATCCAATATATCGCAATACGCATTGTGCTTTGGTACTTTTAATATGAAACAAAGTCTCAGATTTCAAATTCTGTCCAT